AACACCAAGATTTAATATGACCTAGCAGCCTAATGTGGCTGTGGAAATGGCTTCGCTGTCCTTGGATGTGTCTAAAGTCATCTGTGGGGCAGGCGTTGTGGTGCAGTGTGTTAAGCTGCCACTTGGGATGCCCACATCCCATATTGGAGTGCCTGGTATCGAGTCCTGCCTCCGCCTCCGATCCAGCTCCCCACTGCTGTGCCTTGGAGGCAGCAGATGATGGCCCAAGTACTTGGGCTGCTGCCACCCATGTGGCAGATGCAGCTCCTGGCTCCTGGCTTTAGCCTTGTTCAGCCCTGGCTGTTGTGGGTATTTAGGGAGTGAACCCCCTCTCTCCCTCTCTCTCTATACCCCCTATACACTCTCTGCCTTTCCAATAAATAAATGTTTTTTGAGGCCAACATTGTGGCATAGCACCACAAAGCCACCATGTGCAATGCTGGCATCCCATTTGGGCACTGGTTTTTGTCCTGGCTGCTCCACTCCTGACCCAGCTCCCCGCTAATGGCATGGGACAGAAGCAGAAGATGGCCCAAATGTTTGGGTCCCTGATACCCACATGGGAACCCTGTTTGAAGCTCCTGGCTCCTAGCTTTGGTCTGGCCCTGTCATTGTGGCCAGTAAACCAGTGGATGGAAGATCTCTCTTTCTCTCCCCCTAACCCCTATAACTCTGACTTTCCAAATAAATAAAAATCTTTAAGGATAGCAATTCTTTTTTCAAAGAATAAAATCATCAGATGCCTGGATGACAGGAGTTGTTGTTGGCCACCCTCTCCTGTGAACAGCTCGCAGGTGCAGAGGATAGAACATTGGGTATTGGGGACATTTTTGAGTGGTCATTGACTTTTTTTTTTTTAAGATTTATTTATTAACTTGAAAGAGTTACACAGAGAGAGAGAGAGGTCTTCCGTCTGCTGATTCACTCCTCAGTTGGCCGCAATGGCAGGAGTTGCACTGATCTGAAGCCAGGAGCCAGGAGCTTCTTCCAGATCTCGCCCGTGGGTGCTGGGGGCTTGGGCCATCTTCTACTGCTTTCCCAGGACACAGCAGACAGCTGGATCAGAAGTGGGGCAGCCAGGACTTGAACTGGTGCCCATATGGGATGCCAGCACTGCAGGCGGGGGCTTTATCTGCTACACCACAGCGCCACCCCCTGGTCATTGACTTTCTATAATGACTTCAGAGTGACCAAAGTCCTTTGCATGATCCTAGAGCTACAGCAGAGGAGACGCAGGTGAGAGAGCTGAGGGCCTGAACTCTGCTCAGGTGGCAGCAAGTGGCAGGTGGGACAGGGTCAACTATGTGAACAGACCGCTACCCCCCTCCCCTGCACAGAGCTCCGTGGGCAGCTCCTCCACGTAGCAACTCGGGGCTCTGGCCCACTCCCGCTGTGGGTGCACCATCTGGAATCCACCCTCTGGGCTGTGCAGAACAAAGAACATTCACTCCGCTCACACCTGCCGTGCGCCGTGCAGGCCATGTTTGTAGCGTCTGCCACAGAGACACTCGGGACAGAAGAGCAGGGCGCAGCTCCAGGACGCGTGTTCCCAGGACTTTGGTGTGTGCGTGACCGTGGTCTCCAAAGCCTGTGGTGTGTGTTCCATGTCTGTCTCCGTAAAGCAAGTCAGCTGCTTCCTTCACGTGAAGCTCTGTTGTTGATTGACCTGAGCAGTCCCTGTGCCGAGAACGGGTGAGCCAGAGCACTGCTGTAGTTCATTACTGGTGACCCAGAGCACAGTCGTAGGTTGTGACTGGTGACCCAGAGCACAGTCGTAGGTTGTCACGGGTGACCCAGAGCACTGCTGTAGTTCATTACTGGTGACCCAGAGCACAGTCGTAGGTTGTGACTGGTGACCCAGAGCACAGTCGTAGGTTGTCATGGGTGACCCAGAGCACTGCTGTAGTTCGTTACTGGTGACCCAGAGCACTGTCGTAGGTTGTCACGGGTGACCCAGAGCACAGTCGTAGGTTGTCACGGGTGACCCAGAGCACGGTTGTAGGTTGTCACGGGTGACCCAGAGCACAGTCGTAGGTTGTCACTGGTACCCAGAGCACGGTCGTAGGTTGTCACGGGTGACCCAGAGCACTGCTGTAGTTCATTACTGGTGACCCAGAGCACAGTCGTAGGTTGTCACTGGTACCCAGAGCACGGTCGTAGGTTGTGACTGGTGACCCAGAGCACAGTCGTAGGTTGTCACGGGTGACCCAGAGCACTGCTGTAGTTCGTTACTGGTGACCCAGAGCACTGTCGTAGGTCGTCACTGGTACCAATCTGCCAGGGCAGTGCCGGGCTCCTCTGTTTCTGGGCTCAGTCTTGGTGATTCGCGGTTTCCCCGGGAGCCGCCTGTTGGTTCTGTTCCACGTGTATGTTCATAGCGCTGTGAAGCCAGCCCTTCCTCCTAGATGTTGGGGTCTCCTTGATGCCTGTGGTCGCGTCTCCTTTCCCACGTCTAGTTCCGCTGGCTCATGCCGCTTTTCTTCTTGATTAGTTTATCCACTTAGCACTTCCTGGCGACTGGTGTTTTTGTTCTCTGCATTTTCTGCAGTACTTTCAAATTACCTTTCTGTATTGTTTACAGCTGCCTCTAACTCTTAGAAATCAGTGGGATTTTTAAGTCCTAATTGCATTTGAATAATTATGAAGTAAACTTTGTAATCACCAGGAAATCAGTGAGTGGCAGAGAACATACTGGCGTTTCTCTGTGACCTTCCACTGAAGGCCGTTTTGGTGAAGTCCCCGGCGCCCTGCAGGGGCTGCGGTGTGTGCGTGAGTGCAGGGCCCGGGGGCTGTGAGGGGTCAGCTGTGTGACCCAAGAACGTCCCTCTGCTTCCTGGGCCTCACCTGTGCATCTAGAGACCGAGCCAGTTACTGGTCTGCGGCCGGATTGCTAGGGGTTGGGGGCGCGTCACCAGGCCTGTGTGGAAGACGGCAGATCCCAATTCTCGGCCCTGATAGTCTTCAGTCAGCACCGCACTGTGGCGCAGCAGGGTAAGCCGCCACTTGTGACACCAGTGCCCCCATCAGAACCCACTCTCGAGTCCCGGCTGCTCCACTTCCAGCTCCCTGCTAATGGCCTGGGAAAGCAGTGGAGGATGGCCCGAGTGCTTGGGTTCCCACACCCGTGCCGGAGACCTGGGTGGAGTTTCTGGCTTCAGCCTGGCTCAGCCCTAGACAGTGCAGCTGCTGGAGAGTGAACCCGCTGGTGGGTGATCCGTCTCTCTTTCCCTCTGCCTTTCGAGGAAATGAATGTCTTTTTTTTTAGATTTTATTTATTTGAAAGATAGAGTTACAGAGAAACAGAGGAAAAGAGAGAAAGAGAGAAGTCTTCCACCTGCTGGTTCACTCTCCGAATGGCTGCAACAGCCAGGACTGGGCCAGGCTGAAGCCAGGACCCAGGAGCTGCTTCTGGGTCTCCCACATGGGTGGCAAAGGCCCAGGCGCTTAGGCCATCCTCCACTGCTTTCCCAGGTGCATTAGCAGGGAGCTGGATCAGAAGTGGAGCAGCTGGGACTCGCACCAGCACCCGATGGGATGCCAGAGTCGCAGGCCGTGGCTCAACCCATTACGCACAAGGCCAGCCGCATGACTCAGTCTTTAAACATGGGTTCCTGGGACGGTGGCCGACAGCAGCACACTGCAGGATGCTCACACATTTGGCCTGGAGTGGGGGGTGGAGTCTGTGGGACTGCAGTTGCTTCACGCTGTGAGAAGGGCAAGGGCTCGGTGCTGGTGTGTCCTTGGTCACGTGTTCCATTTTGCTTTGTTTTTCTTTCCCTCGTGTAGCATTTTCTGTGTGGCATCAGCTTTGATGGTCTGGGATTTCATTCTGCCATTTTCTTGGGATGCGGGAGATTCCTGGGTCGGGGGTGAAGGCAGAGTTTTGGCAGAGTGACCCGAGGTGGGGGTCTTCACCACACACGGAGCACTGCCACCCCCCAGGATGCTGTGCAGCTTCCTTGAAAGGAAGCTTACAGACATCCGTGAAAGGATAGTTCTGGAACAAGGAGCAGCGGTGCCTGTGCCTGCAAGAGGAGCGGGACCCGAGAGCCAAGGAAGAGTCTCCCGCCAGGTCCTCGAAGAATGCACGCAGGACCCAGGGAGGGGCAGGTGCTTCCGCTGCAAAGTGGAAAGACACGTTACCAAGGGGTTCTCAGCCACGGGTCCATCCACGCTCCCCCGCTTCTGAGGATGTGGACAGCACACAGGGTGGCCCGGCACGTCCTGCAGGCTGCCTGCTGCGGCGGTGGGGCAGGGCACGGCACCCAGCAGGTGCGTTCACGCCTTACCCTTGGGGACAGCTTTCCTTTGCATATTCTTCCCACTGTAAGCGTTGGAGCATTGATTTCCTCCCTCGCGCTTCTGAAGGCAGAAGACAGCCGACTCTGCCTTGGGACACTGCTGGGCTCCCACACTCGGCAGGGGCGGATGCTGGGCATCAGGGGCCGCAGCTCTGGGCAGGGGTCTCCTCGCCCTCGGGCTGGCCCTGCTGACTGCGGCTTCCTTGCCTGCTGTTAAGGCTGGGCTTGCATTGTGTGCTTTGGTTTGGTTTTTCTCAGTAAAATTCTGTAGTATTTGGTCAAAGTGTTTCTTTGAACTTTGCAAAGTCGGTGGCACCTGCCATTTGGTAGCCACAAAAAACGGCCATGGCCCCTGTCCCAAATGCCAGCGTGTTAAGTGCGTTATTGTTACTACTGAGCAGTCAGTCATCTCATCTTAGTTCTGTTTTGCTTAGTGCTGTGCCAGCATTCATTTTAAGTCTGGAAGTTACTAAGCCGTGAGACAATGTGACTGCTGACAGACAGAGCGCAGGTTCACCGCCGTGTCCTGGGTGTCCGGTGCCGCCTTTCAGACACCGGCTACGATCGGTCGCCGCAGGGTCCACGGCTGCAGCCCGGAAGCCTTGGCATCGTGACAGGACAGCGAGGAACGGCCCCGCGGGGCGGCTGGGCTCTTTCTCTCAGCGTTCAGCTAAATGGACTCTGATTTTGTCCACGCAGATTGGAGACATTAAAACGGCTGAGAAGTATTTTCAAGACGTTGAGAAAGTGACGCAGAAATTGGATGGACTACAGGGTAAAATAATGGTTTTAATGAACAGGTGAGTATTTTTAAACTGCATACTTATTTTCTCAAACTTCCTAAAACAAAGTCTAAACACAACTTCCCGAGTAGTGCAATCTTCCAGAGAGAACACTGCCTCTCGCGCCCCGTCCCGGCTCAGACGAGGGCGCCCGGCGTCCTCTACACCCCGTCCCGGCTCAGACGAGGGTGCCAGGCGTCCTCGCGCGCCCCGTCCCGGCTCAGACGAGGGTGCCCGGCATCCTCTTACGCCCCGTCCTGGCTCAGACGAGGGTGCCCGGCGTCCTCTTACGCCCCGTCCCGGCTCAGACGAGGGTGCCCGGCGTCCTCTTACGCCCCGTCCCGGCTCAGACGAGGGTGCCCGGCGTCCTCTCACGCCCCGTCCCGGCTCAGACGAGGGTGCCCGGCGTCCTCTCACGCCCCGTCCCGGCTCAGACGAGGGTGCCCGGCGTCCTCTTACGCCCCGTCCCGGCTCAGATGAGGGTGCCCGGCTCAGACAAGGGTGCCCAGCGTCCTCTTGAGCTGCAGTGGTGTGCTTTCCTCACACGAGCTGGCTTGGAGGAGGTTTTCCCCGGCGTTCCTCAGGGAACTGCTCGTGTGGCCCCCCTTCTGTCTAGCTCAGCAGGCGTGGGCGCCGTCCGCAGTGCCCCGCCACCTTGCACCCATCGGTCCTGGGGTGCGCTTCCAGTGTCGGTGAGGGAGCTGTGCACAGGGACACACGTGTGAGCAGAGGCTGTGCCCAGTAGAGTGTGCACACAGCTCAGGACAGGAGCGTGAGGCACGAGTACCCACAGTCCACGGGTGGGAGTGGCCTGAACTGGGCCGGGTCAGGCAGGCAGATGCGGTACTGCCTCTGTCGAGAGGGCCGGGGTCGCCATCCTGCAGCCTCTGAAGCCCCCTCCAGGTGGGGGACCCCTCCCCTCCCTAGCACCCTGACATTCCCTGGCTAACGAACGGCTCTGCCCGTGGCCTCTGCTGCAGAGCGTTCCTGCACCTGGGTCAGAACAACTTCGCCGAAGCCCACAGATTCTTCACTGAGATCTTGAGGATGGACCCAACAAACGCCGTGGTAAGACCCCCGCAGGCATTTGTCCTGTGTCTCGGACCCCTCTGCCCGTCGCAGTGCTCGGGGCCAGCCTTGGCCCTGCTCACAGGCACGGGCATCCGGCGACTGTGGCGGTCACGGGCTACCCCAGTGTCAGGCCCAGGTGCACTGGGCGTGACCTGTGACCTGCATGTGGCCCCGCCTCCAGGCCAACAACAACGCCGCCGTGTGTCTGCTCTACCTGGGCAAGCTCAAGGACTCGCTGCGGCAGCTGGAGGCCATGGTGCAGCGGGACCCCAGGCACTACCTGCACGAGAGTGTGCTGTTCAACCTGACCACCATGTACGAGCTGGAGTCCTCGCGGAGCATGCAGAAGAAGCAGAGCCTGCTCGAGGCCGTGGCCGGCAAAGAAGGGGACAGTTTCAACACCCAGTGCCTCAAGCTGGCCTAGAGCCAGAGTGTGAGTGTGGACCAGAGCGGCACACCGTGCGGCTGTGCACAGCCATAAAGGCCCGTCTCCTAGAGCCAGAGTGTGAGAGTAGACCAGAGCGGCACACCGTGCGGCTGTGCACAGCCATAAAGGCCCGTCTCCTAGAGCCAGAGTGTGAGAGTAGACCAGAGCGGCACACCGTGCGGCTGTGCACAGCCATAAAGGCCCCTCTCCTAGAGCCAGAGTGTGAGAGTAGACCAGAGCGGCACATGCGTGCGGCCGTGCACAGCCATAAAGGCCCGTCTCCTAGAGCCAGAGTGTGAGAGTGGACCATGGAGCGGCACATGCGTGTGGCTGTGGCATAGCCGTGAAGGCCCGTCTCCCGCCCCATGGGAGCCTCCTTCTGGAGCCACAGCCCAGGCCTGCCCAAGGTGGGCACGTCCCTGGGTATGCACACGAGGGGAGATGGTGTGCCAGGCAGGAGGCCTGCAGTGTACACCAGACCTCCCTCACCTACTCCTGGAAGCCAGCCTGTTCCTTTCTTATTTATTTAGCTGTCTTCATTGTATTTGAAAGGCAAAGAGCCAAACACAGACCTTGAGTCCACTGGTTCACGCCCCAGATGCCTGCAACAGCCAGGCTGCGCATCTCCCGCTGTCCACGGCTGCTCAGCGTCCTCCCCCCGCCCTCTCTCCTCACTGACCAAGGTGGAACGGTGGGTCCTGGTTTCTCTTGTGTTTCGTGCGCCCCACAGAGAGGGCAGAGCAGGAGAGCCGCACCCGGGAGTGAGCAGAACACAGAGCTCAGGTGCGTGAGAAAACCAGGAAGCGTCTGAACACAGGCTGCCGGGGGTCAGCAGGGTCGGAGCCCGAGCACCCGGGGGTCAGCAGCATCGGGAACACAGGGCCCTCGAGGGTCAGCAGGGTCTGAGCCCAGGCCAGTCCGCACATTTGCATTCATCTTTTCATAGTTATTCCTGCTTTTGAAACCGTAAGTCCCTGAAAATGTCTGCATTTACCAGGCAGCTCTGGCCAGGACCCTGTAATGCCGGCTTCTCTAACCCGTGAGCTGTGATCGACATGCGGGGCTGAGAAGTGCGTGTACGAATCAGAGCTGCAGGCAGATGGCCCCACGCCTTTGCTGAGGCGCACGTGAGTGACGCCTCAGAGCAGGAGAGCAGGTGACCCCGCCTGGAGGGCTGGACACTCCCAGGGACCTTCACATCCTCCTCTCCACAAAGAGGGAAAATCAGCGTCGTATTTGACTATGGGAGTGCAGGGAGGCAGTGGACACCCAGGAGTGGCAGGTGAGAAAGGAGCCAGGCTCCCTTCAGACTGAACCTGCAGCCAGTCTTCCTCCCCAGCTGCCATTGCCGGACACTGGAACCAGCAAGGGACAATGGGAGGCCAGGCCACACAGGTGATTTGTCCCCCGGGGGCAGGTGAGGTTAGGCCCAGCTCACGGAGGTGGCAGCGCCATCGCTAGCTCCTGCCTGGGTGTTTTAGCCTGTTCCTACAGAAAGGGGCCATCATTGTGGCCTGCACATTGGCATCCCATATGGGTACTGGTTTGTGTCCTGGCTGTTCCACTTCCGATCCAGCTCCCTGCTACTGGCCTGGAGAAAGTAGCAGAAGATGGCCCATGCCACTCACAGGGGAGACCCAGAAGAAGCTCCTGGCTCCTGGCTCCTGGCTCCTGGCTCCTGGCTCCTGGCTCCTGGCTCTGGCCTGGCCCAGCACTGGCTGTTGTGGCCATGTGGGGAGTGAACCAGCAGGTGGAAGATGTTTCTCTCTCTCTCTCTCTGTCTCCCTCTCCATAACTCTTGCAAAATAAATAAATTTTTAAAAAGCTTATGAAAAATAAATAAAGGCTGAAGAGGAGAACTGCTATGAATGTTAATGTCTGGATAATTGCTGTAACCTATCTTGTTATCTTAAAAAATTATTTAAATATAAGAAGCCGTAATGGCAGGCCTTTGGCACAGCAGTTGAGACGCTGCCTGGGACAGTTCACCCCTATGGGAGCGCTTGAGCTGAGTCTCAGCTCCACTTCCAGTCCAGCGCCTGGAGGCGGCGGTGATGACTCAAGTACCAGGTCTCTGCCACCCTTTTGGGAGACCTGGATCAAGTTGTTCCAGGCATTTGGGGTGTGAACCAGCAGGTAAGAGATCTTTCTATGTCTTGGTCTCTCAATTTTTCAAATAAATACAAAATTTAGAAATAAATACATAATCTCTGAAACCCTTCCCAGAGCCAGGTGGACAGTGGTTAGCCATCAAAGGGCATGCGTTCCATCTGGAACCCTGGGAGCCTCGTTAAGTTAATCCTGGGCCACACACTGCCTGCTCTTGAAAGAGCAGTGCACGTGAACACCACCTCCCCTCTGGCCATCGCTACTGAATGACCAGTGTGTTCTGCGTGCAGTGCTCGGACCATCACCAAGGCAGCACATGGCCCCCGAGCAAGGAGGCAGCCATAGCTTCCTGGTGCCCACACCAGGGCCCCTGTGGCTGCAGAGGCCCAGACCTGCCTGTGTCCGAGTGTGTCTCCCACTGTTGAGCGGGCTCGTGAGCACCACAGAGGCCAAGCCCTAGACTTGGAGATGGCCCTGCTCCTGTACCCACCATCCCAGGCCCTCTGTGCTGTGCACCTCTACAGCTGCCTGGAGTGGGACAGACCCACAGAGGCCCTGATGTTGGCTGGAGCAGCCCTGGCTGGTGAGGCCTCCTCTTCTTCCATGCCCAGCCCCTGAGCTCCTCTGGAAGATCCCAGCCGCCTCTGGGCCACTGCACCTCCCTCGCAGTTCCCCCCGTGTCTCACATGTGTGAGCAAAGTGCCCAGCAGGCAAATGTGCAGTGGCTCAGGATGCGCAGGACGCTGCTCAAGACGCCAACTGGGTATTTCGCTCCACGGCCCAGGTGCACAGCCCTCTGCCCTCCTCTGCCTTGGGCACCTCTGCCATCAGGGACAGGAGCGACAGCTGGGCCCAGAGTCCTCTGCAGGTCCTGATGTGACCAGGAACCGGGCCCTGGGCCCAGGATTGAGACAGGACCAGAATGGCCTGCCTGGTGTCGGGCCGGGGAGGGGTAAGCCCCACCACCAAGGCTCCCTTGCCCCTGCCCTGGAGGCCCTCGGCTGCTGCCCTGCTACTGTGGCCCAGTGGTCGGCGTGCCAGGCAGAGTGGCCTGCAGCAGAGACACTACCCCTCTCCAGCAGCGCCCAAGCTGCCCATCTAGGCCCCCCCCCCTTGCAGGAACAACCAGAACTGAACCCCATGCCCATTGCAGGTGGATGTGATGGGGCTTTTACAAAAGTTCAGGAATGGCGTGTGCCTTGGGCCTCGTCCCCAAGTCCACCTGCTCTGCTCTCTCCATGCCTGGAGTGCATTAGCTCAGTTTATGTCTCCTGACAACAGGAACCAGAACAGACCCTGGGGCTGGGTGAGGGACAAGAGCAGACCCACAGGCCTCACCGAGGGACCCCCAGGCACCTGAAAAGGCCCAGCTCCTGCTCTCTGCCAGCAGGACCGGGGTGCCAGGCCTGTCGGAAAGGTTTGCCTGCCAAGAAGTCGTGATACCAGTTTTCTTGTCACTCAGAGCCGTCACTCTCCCTTCCCGAGCAAGCTTTGTCTTCTCTCCGGGGTTAAGGACAAGCAACGAACGGGTGAGCCCTTGGCATCTGTTGCCTCAGTTTCACTTGGGCACGCGCCTGCATCTCAGGAGGAGCACCTGCACTGTCCAGAGGAGAGGGTCATGGGGCCACGAGGGCTGTCACCTGGAAACCCGGCCACCAAGTGCAGCCTCCAGCCAGGGCGTCCATCAGCCGCATGGAGCCAATGTCGCCCAGCCGCGACCTCAGCCACAGCGCTGGGTCCCTGAACACCTGGCTGGGCGCACTGAACCACTCCGCCTCCACGAGGCCTGTGAGGTGGCCTCCCACCTTCCTGCGGTGCTCCCAGGTTCTGGAGCGGCTGGGCAGAGGCCGTGCGTGCAGGGTCAGTGCTCTGTGGACCCCACGCAGGCCCGCTGCACAGCCTCCTTTGCTGGGCTTTCTCGGCTGGTTTCTAGAACTCCCTAAGAAAGCAAAGGCCGACCACACTTCCTGTGTCTGGCCTGTGGGCCGTACACTGACCTCTGCCGGCACACAGGAAAGACCCCCGAGCCAGTTGGAGTGGCTGTCAATTCTTCAGGACCCCGTGGGCTGCATGCGGGAATCTGACGCCTCCAGGCAGTGACCAGGCCTCTCTGAGCCATGCTCCAGTTAAAGGACAGCAGGTGGTGACAGCCCCTGACTGGCTCCTCACCCAGCTCCGGTCTGAGCCCACAGAGGTCACCGCACATCCACCTCTGCTCCTAAACCTCTGGGTTCCCACCTGCGGCGGCCAGTGAGCCCTGTGATGTGTGCATCCCAGCCCCAGGGGCTCTGCTCCTCGGCGTTGCAGATGAAATGGTGTCCCCCAAAATCTGTTGAGGCCCCAGACCCAAAGTGGCTGTTTAAAGGTAGGGGCTTCAAAGCGGTCACTAAGGTTAAAGGAGGCCGTATTGCTACCTGACCGCGGCCTCATGAAGCCGACACCGGGCGAGCAGGCGCCACCTCAGACGAGTGAGCAGAGGGGCTTCGGAAGCAGCTCTGCCCACACCTGCGTCAGGTCTTGGCCGTCTTCTGAGCTGCCCAGCTGTGGTGCTGGTCCCGGCCATCCTGGGGGCGGCCCCTCCCCTCCCTCGGGCTCTGCCCCAACGTGTGACCACACACAGGCCACGCTGAAGAGCGGACCATGGCAGCTGGCCCCCGGCACGGGGAGGGGACAGTTTGGGCAAGTGATGGGGCAGTGGGGGCAGTGGGGACAGGGGGTGTAGGTGTTCCTGGCCCCGCTGGGAGTGTATGGCAGCCTGTGGGTGGAGAAGCCCAGAGCTCGGGCGCACGGCTGCCAGGCTTTCAGAGCCCGGGGCGCCCGGGTCCCCCCCGCCCGGGTGTGCCAGTTCCTTTCAGCGCTGCTCATTAGGGAATCTGTTCTCTCTCCAATGCGTAAAACAGGTCTCCCTCCTCTGGGAGTGCATTGTGCACTGCTCATTCCCAACAACCTGGCAATTGGGGGTTCACACACATCATGAGCCTCCCGCCCCTACCCGGCCCACAGACCGCTCTGTCGGGCTGTGGCGCTGTTAGGGAGAAGGGTGGCAAGGTCCTCCCAGCCATGGGGGCCAGGACAGGCGGCTGAGAGGCCTGTAGGACCCCTGCCCAGGGCGGGAGCCCGGCCCCACGCAACAACGATCATGTTTTCCATGTGAGCATGTTTCCCCACCTCCGTCAGCAGGATGGCTGCCTGGGCCCTGCAGTACCAGTAAACAGGGTCACCTGGCCCCTAAGTAAGAGCCTGAGCCCTCCCCTTCCTGGCTGGCACCGCCCCCCACCCACTCACCCAGACCTCAGCCGCTGGCCAGGATTACGGCCAGAGAAGCCCTTGGGAACCCAGTGTGACTGTCCGGCAGAACAGAGGCCTGGGAGGGGACAGAGGAGTGACTGCAGGGGCAGTGGCCGTCGTGGCCAGGTCTGGGGTAATGACAGCACAGATCACACTGAAGGTGGCCAGGGCAGACGCTGTGCCAACCAGAAGGTGACCCCCCCCCCCCGCAAGGATGTCCAAGCCCCATGGCCGGGGCTCGGGCAGGGACACGTTAGACGCCCAGGAAGCCAGGGGCCTCGGCCGGGAACGAAGTCTCAGACTCCCGTCCCGTGAGTTCGCAGGTTCACGCAGCGGCGGCCTGCACAGCTCCAGTTTGGGCAAGCAGGGCTCTCACACACAGACGGGGAGGTGGAGGCAGTGACCCAGGGGTCCTGACGGAGCTGGGAGCCCCGGGCTGGTCACACACAACTGCAGGGGAGCTGGGGACCAGAGTGTGGCGGTGAAGTCAGCCAGCCCAGCACCGGGTGGGATGTGGGTTCTGAAACTGCTACACGGGGCTCCCCGCTCCATCAGAGACTAAAACCGGCTCACAGGAAGAGGCCGAGGCTGAGGCCATGCCTGCGCGATTTAAGCCCCATCACGGTGGTGGGTGGTGGGCTCTGCTCAGGAGCGGAATCCAAGCCTTGCCGCACCCTGTTGCGGCGGGATCGGGAGCCTGTTACACTAGCAGACAGTCTGGAGACAGAGGCTGGCCGAGGGCAGTGCTCAGGGCAGGGCCTGACGGCAGAGCCTCCCGGGGAGTGCTGGGCTGGGGCGGCGTCCTGGTGTCTGGGGCATGGTGGAGAGGGAGGTTTACCTGCACGATAAGCAGTGGGTGTGCCGGCCTCCAGCCGTGCCGGACCAGCGTGGAAGGTGATAGGATGTGGGTGGTGCTGCCGGCCTGGGTGGGGGCAGCCCTCAGCTCCTGTCCCTTCCTGACTCCCTGCGTCTCCCCCACACCGTCACTGCCCCTCCCAGAGCTGCCCCTGCCCCTGCACACACGGGCAACAGAAGAGGCCCTCCTCTGGTCCCCACCCACTCAAACACAAGCACAGCCCTGAGCACGAGGGACTGGAGAACAGCCAGCCTGGCCTGAGGTGACCCCAGTCGAGTCGGGGTGGGGGCCGGGGGAGGCAGTGCCCCGGGATGCAGACTGGGGCTGCATGGCGAGGACCAGCTGCTCAGCGTGGTTCTCTTGTCTGCCTGTGGGTCCACTCTGATACGGAACCTCCAGAACTGGCCGGAGGAGATGCTAGAGGACCCTCAGGACTCGGTCCGCTCGCCCGGTGCACAGCGGGCCAACCACGATGTCAAGGGGTGCAGGAAGGCCACAGTTTGCGGCCGGTGCAGAGCAAGGGGCCCCGCGGCTGCCAGGGAATTCCCCGGAGGCTGCCAGCGGCGCCTTCAGACTGAAGCAGGCTGAGAGGTGCGGGCAGTGCATGGCCAGAGGC